GCACTTCGTTCTGTGGGTTGATAGCCACAACAACCGGCACTCCAAACTTCTTAGCGTTGCTAATGTGCTTTGCAACGTTCGGAATACCCTTGCGTAACAGCTCCAGATTTTCCTCCGTATATTCCTTGGCAAGCGGAGCCCCAGGGGTTACGGCAGGTCCGCCTCCGTGCATTTTCAGCGCTCTGACGGTAGTTACTAGAACTAACGGCGGTAGGTATGTCGCCTGATGCCCGGCATTTTATGTTGAAGTACTTCTCCATACCTGAATTTAGAAGACGTCACTTAAAGGTCGTGTAAATATTTAACCGTAGGTCAACACAAACAAAATAGAAAGAATACGTAAAAAAAAGTACGTTAACTCTACGGCGTCTGATACAAAACTTGACTAGTTGAGCACGATATATATAATAAGTCTCTGCATCTCAAACCAAAGAGAATAAATATATTTCTGTCAATGGGAGATGCATGGAAAATATGTGTGACTATTTTACCCGTACTATCGGATAAGCTTTGTTAGAACGTCTTTAATGTATCAATCCATCGTATTATGGCAGTTTTACCAACTCAAAGCATCTACAATTCTACAGAAAACCACTTGCCTAAAAATTTCACAATAATTACTTGCTAACGTAGCATATGAAACTCATCCTGTGATGGTATCTCTTATGGCAGAGTCATCACGGTGACCGCTGGATGCTGTTGATTTTGGCGATGTAGTAGATGATGGTCTATTCTACTACTTTACAGTTCCAACAGATAGTTGCTATTCAGATCATCGAATTCGTCGAGGGAAATAGAAATCTTGACCGAGTTTCAAGCTGGATTTAGGAAGAAACAAACAATGTTTTTGGACTTCAAATGGGCATTTGAAACTAATGACAGAGATAAATTACTTGCAAAGTTGCATGAATATGGATTTAAATTAACTGTATTTAAAATACTACAAAACTATTCAATTCACATAAGTCAAAAAACCTTAATTGGATATGTATTATCCAGATTAAAAAATATTTATTTTGTGTACCGCAATGTATCTATTTTATATATTGATATTTTAACCAAAAAAAGTTTGGAAATAACCTGAGTAATTTTTAAAAAGTGCGTAATTTTTTATTCTTTATTATTAAGGACTATTTTTTTTCTCATATAGTATTGCTTACGTCTTGAGGATACAAATGACAATTTTTGTTTGCTGACTAGCATTAAAATACCTTCATATTATTTTATGGCCGAAAATGAGATGACAGAAGTATGAAAACATATTTGTTTCCAAACTTTTGTCCGCTACTGTATGTGCTCTTTGCCGAGTAAAAATACGAATCTGTATAGAACCTATTATCCGAAAATAATCATTTTCAAATCAAGCGTTTATTGCTCACCAATATCGGATGAAAATCCAGCCTCTGTCAAGACGAATCCTTTCTCACCAACCAACTTAAGAGCGATCTTATCGGCGATGATTGAGTTTGAACCGTGTGCAATGTTTGCAAAAGGTCCGGCATGCAGAAATACCGGAGATCCTTCTAAACTCTGCAGCAACGTAGGCTCTATGGTGTCTTTTAGCAAGACCATCAATGCTCCTGTCATTCCTATATCGTCAGCTGTTACTGGTTTGCCTGAAAAAATTGTTATATTTTTGGATTTGATTTAAGGATCTCAACATACATTAGATACACCCAAAAATTGTCATGCCACAAATCCTGTGTTTGTCAGTGTATTTAAAGACAAGTTTAGTCCACGAGAGACACACGAATGACGTTACTTTGTTTACCATTTTTATGACGTCACATCATGAAATATTTATTCTATGAAATATATAGGTTATAATACCTGATTTGTCGAACGCCACCACCATTTTTGAGAGCCTGTCTTTGAAGTCTCTCATGTCTTTAGCCAACGCTAATATAGCCATTATTTCGCTAGCCACACTGATCACAAATCCTTCCTTTCTTGTCAGACCCTTTTCTGTCGGTGACTGTCCTATCGTTATTTCTCTGAGATACCTGTCGTTGATATCCAAAACTGCAAAAGTAACAAATAAATTAGCACCTAAAAGCAAAATCGAACACATAAAAGGAATACAGAAATTAGTACTTCATGTACAGGTGCTTGAAAACAGGGCAGTATTCGACATGAATCACTTGCCGTCGGGTAGATTGACTCTATGTTCACCCAGTCAAGATTCCGATAACATTTGACGTTATGTTGATTTGAACATTTTTCGGATAATAGAAAAAGGCATTTCCTGTACAGATGCTTGAAAACAGGGCAGTAATCGCTATAAACTACTTGCCGTCGAGTAGATTGACTCTATGTTCACCCAGTCAAGATTCCGAAAACATTTGATGTTATGTTGATTTGAACATTTTTCGGAAAATAGAAAAAGGCATTTCCTTTTCAGATGCTTGAAAACAGGACAGTATTCGACATAAACCACTTGTCGTCGAGTAGATTGACTCTATGTTCACCCAGTCAAGATTTCGATAACATTTGATGTTATGTCGATTTGAACATTTTTCGGATAATAGGAAAAGGCATTTCCTGTACAGATGCTTGAAAACAGGGCAGTATTCGACATAAACCACTTGCCGTCGAGTAGATTGACTCTATGTTCACCCAGTCAAGATTTCGATAACATTTGAAGTTATGTTGATTTGAACATTTTTCGGATAATAGTAAAAGGCATTTCCTGTACAGATGCTTGAAAACAGCGCACTATTCGACATAAACCACTTGCTGTCAAGTAGATTGACTCTATGTTCACCCAGTCAAGATTTCGATAACATTTGATGTTATGTTGATTTGAACCTAGTCAAGACTTCGATAAAATTTGATGTTATGTTGATTTGAACATTTTTCGGGTATTAGAAAAAGGCATTTCCTGTACAGATGCTTGAAAACATGGCAATACTCGACATAAACCACTTGCCGTCGAGTAGATTGACTCTATGTTCACCCAGTCAAGATTTCGATAACATTTGATGTTATGTTGATTTGAACATTTTTCGGATACTAGAAAAAGGCATTTCCTGTACAGATGGTTGAAAACAGGGCAGTATTCGACATAAACCACTTGCCGACGAGTAGATTGACTCTATGTTCAACCAGTCAAGATTTCGTTAACATTTGATGTTATGTTGAATTGAACATTTTTCGGATAATAGACAAAGGCATTTTCTGTACAGATGCTTGAAAACAGGGCAGTATTCGACATAAACCACTTGCCGACGAGTAGATTGACTCTACGTTCACCCACTCGAGATTTCGATAACATTTGATGTTATGTTGATTTGAACATTTTTCGGATAATAGAAAAAGGCATTTTTAGATCAACGCGAAGTACGGACTCAAGAAGTTTTTTTCAAAAAGGCAAAAAACAATGTCGTTGAATTTTGAAGTAACTTTTACTGGAACGCACTACTCACCTCTGTTCCAAACAATGTTATTAGTATCGATGTTCAGTCTGGCAAACTTGACTTTTTCTTCTAGCGTCAAACTGTCAGGGTCAGTTTTGTTAATTCCTACCCTCTGTAGCCGTCGCAGTTGAATATTGGAGAATTTTCTAACACCTTTAATTTTTGGTACTAGACGGTCGAACAACGCCTGAAATGAATGTAGTGACAACTATCAAGATCGATGAAGTACGAACAAATTTTCCTAAAATGCTCTTTTTCTACAAGCGCGCAGAAAATAACGTTTTGTTACTCGCAGTTGGGCACACAATGTTTACGTTTACCGATATAAAACTAGTTTCAACGATGGAAGTAAACTGAAATCGAAGTTTAATTAAACTTGTGACATATCGCATATTTGATTAAATTCTTTAATTGATGTGGGGAAATAACCTTTATTCTCTGTTGCTTGGCTAGAAAATAACCCGTTCCATAAATATTACGTGAAATACATTTGAGTAACGCTCTCCCGAGAACATACTATTTCATCCCCGAATATTCTTTCTCTGGTCCGTAAAAAAGAAGGGCACTGACCTCATCCTTTTGGGTGGCCTCGTGGAAAATCCTGGCGTCCAATTGAGCGGCAAGCAGGTTATTCGCAGCTGTGATAGCGTGAATGTCACCTGTCAGATGCAGGTTGACGTCCTCCATGGGAATCACCTGAGAGTAACCTCCACCTGCAGCTCCACCTTTGATCCCGAAGGTGGGACCCTGAGAAGGTTGACGCATCGTCGCGAAGGTGTTCAGTTTCAGGTGGGTGGACAGCGCTTGGACCACACCCAACAGAGTAGTACTTTTACCTGGAAGTATTAGGTCATTATCAGACGAGGTCTGTAAATTAAATTTTAAGTGTTTTTTTTATTACAATCTTATATTGTCACCCTTAAAATAACTTTCTTCTGAAGCCACACAGCGCTGAACACGGATTAGTTAATTAAATTTAGTAGGTGTCATTAATGAGAATAAAACCTCAGAAATTTAAATTAGTTAAAGATTAGCTAATTAGATTAAGGTAATTTAAGTAGCTAATTATATTTAGTACGCATAAAAAGCGTTTTTAAATTTAAATTAATTAGGGTAAATTTGGTTAGTTAAATTTAGTACGTCTAATTAATGAGAATAAAACCTTCAGAAATTTAAATTAATTAAAATTTAGTTAATTAGATCAAGGTAATTTAGGTAGTTAATTAAATTTAGTATGCATAAATAGCGTTTTCAAATTTAAATTAATTAGGGTAAACTATCTTAATCTAATTAACTAAATTTAGTTAATTAACTTTAGTACGTGTAATTAATGAGAATAAAACCTTCAGAAATTTAAAATAATTGAAAATTAGTTAATTAGATTAAGGTAATTTAAGTAGTTAATCAAATTTAGTACGCATAAATAGCGTTTTTAAATTTAAATTAATTAGGGTAAATTATCTTAATCTAATTAACTAAATTTAGTTAATTAACTTTAGTACATGTAATTAATGAGACTAAAACCTTCAGAAATTTAAATTAATTAAAAATTAGTTAATTAGATTAAGGTAATTTAAGTAGTTAATCAATTTTAGTATGCATAAATAGCGTTTTTAAATTTAAATTAATTAAAGTAAATTATATTGATCTAATTAACTAAATTTAGTAAAGTAATTAATAAGAATAAAACCTTCAGAAATTTAAATTCATTAAAAATTAGTTAATTGGATTAAGGTAATTTAAGTAGTTGATTAAATTTAGTATGCATAAATAGCGTTTTTAAATTTAAATTAGGGTAAATTAACTTAATCTAATTAACTGAATTTAGTTAGTTAAATTTAGTACGTGTAATGAATGAAAATAAAACCTTCGGAAATTTAAATTAATTAAAATTTAGTTAATTAGATCAAGGTAATTTAGGTGGTTAATTAAATTTAGTACGTGTAATTAATGAGAATAAAACCTTCAGAAATTTAAAATAATTGAAAATTAGTTAATTAGATTAAGGTAATTTAAGTAGTTAATCAAATTTAGTACGCATAAATAGCGTTTTTAAATTTAAATTAATTAGGGTAAATTATCTTAATCTAATTAACTAAATTTAGTTAATTAACTTTAGTACATGTAATTAATGAGACTAAAACCTTCAGAAATTTAAATTAATTAAAAATTAGTTAATTAGATTAAGGTAATTTAAGTAGTTAATCAATTTTAGTATGCATAAATAGCGTTTTTAAATTTAAATTAATTAAAGTAAATTATATTGATCTAATTAACTAAATTTAGTAAAGTAATTAATAAGAATAAAACCTTCAGAAATTTAAATTAATTGAAGATTAGTTAATAAGATTAAGGTAATTTAAGCAGTCGATTAAATTTAGTATGCATAAATAGCGTTTTTAAATTTAAATTACGGTAAACTAACTTAATCTAATTAACTGAATTTAGTTAGTTAAATTTAGTACGTGTAATTAATGAGAATAAAACCTTCGGAAATTTATATTAATTAAAATTTAGTTAATTAGATCAAGGTAATGTAGGTAGTTAATTAAATTTAGTATTCATAAATAGCGTTTTCAAATTTAAATTAATTAGGGTAAAATATCTTAATCTAATTAGCTAAATTTAGTTAATTAAATTTAGTACGTGTAATTAATGAGAATAAAACGTTCAAAATTTTAAATTAATTAGAAATTAGTTAATTAGATTATGGTAAATAACCGTTCCTATATTTAAATTAATTAGGGCAAATTATCTTGATCTAATTAACTAATTTTAGTTCATTAAATATAGTACGTATAATTAATGAGAATAAAACGTTCAGAAATGAGTTCGCTAGAGGTGATTTTTCAACTTCGGGAAGAGAAAAAACTCGGCTAAAGTCAGTCATATAAAAAGGCTGAGGAGCCACAGGAAAAAGTAGGGCACCAAAAAATAATTATTTGATATGTCGCTGGTAAAAGCATTTAGTTATTTTATTTAACATAGGCATTACTTTCAGAGCAAAAATGACTTCATACGCAAGAGCAAAATGTAATACAATATTTTTCAGGTATTAAAATTCTTGGGGATAAAAAATATTGTATCTTACCTTCTCCTAGCGGTGTCGGTGTTATACCAGTAACAACAACATATCTTCCATTTTTCTGGTTGGATAATCTGTCCAAAACAGACAATGACACCTTGGCTTTTTTTCTGCCATACTGGGACAGTTCTGTGGGGTAGATCCCGATTTCTTCTGCTAGGACACCTATATCCTTTGGAACTTGAGCCCTTGATATTTCAATATCACTAAAAATGAAGGTAAAATGATTATTAGACAGGAATCTGTTACAGAATATGTTGCGGAAAAATTTCAGTAGAAAAAATATGAATAATAATAAAAGTTCATATATAAATATAAAAATTCCCCGTTTCTATAATACGTCTAAAATTGACACTTTTTTGACAATAAACAATTACGAAAGAAATCTCAGCATGTTTCAGACTATTCTAGTAATACACTGTATAGGAATGTTAAAATAAAAAGAAAAAACAAACGTTAGAAATTGTTGGTCAAAGGACAGTTTGGACGACCTCAAAAAGTATAATTTTTACCCAGCAGTGAATATATCCATTTTTAGGGCTTTTCTGACAGTAACGAAAGATACATTCAGAGAAAAGTTAATGGAAACCTTTTTTTTATTCGAAATGATCAAAAAAAAAAACGAAAAACAATAAAAAATTGTAATTTATTCAAAACAAATAGGAATAAAAATTCGGTTAAAAAAATTAAATCATTTTTGAGGTCGTCAAGTATCTAAATTAAAGTTAAAACCTTGCTCTACAAGACCTTGGAGATTATTTTGAGATAACTTTCTTTCAAAGCGATTTTAACACTGTTTTTTCCGGCAAAAATGGGTAATCTTTTGTTTTTCACAGTCTGAACATACAAAGTTTGAGAAACTCACCTCGGAACGGGGTCCTGTAATTTTAACGGCAGAACCTTGAGATTCCAGTTTGAAGACGACATGCTTCTAGCTGCTTTTTGCGCACTTTGTACAGTATTTTTCATCAACATGCAGACGGTCATAGGACCAACTCCTCCGGGTACAGGAGTGATGTACGAAGCTACTTGGCTAGCTTCGTCAAACGCCACATCACCAACTAAACGTTGCCCGGACTTTTTCGTAGAGTCTGCAAAATAAGCGAAAAGCTACTTAGGCATTTATTGGATGTAAAGTCGCGTATTGAAAATAATGTCGTGTGAGGAGACAATCATAATCCACGAGGCTATATTACCAATTAGACTTTGCCCGGAATTTTATTAATATCTTTTTTATTTGTAATCACATTACAGGTGGCAAGATTCAAATACTATATCTATTCTACCACCTAAACGCCTTAACAGTACGAGGTGTATAAGAACCAAAAATCTGGCAAATATAAATCAAATTTTATATTGTCACCCTTAAAATTACTTCCTTCTGAAGCCACACAGCGCTGGAGAGGTTTCAGTTAATCAAATTTAGTACGTGTAATTAATGAGAATAAAACCATCAGAAATTTAGATTAATTAAAAATTAGTTAATTAGATTAAGGTAATTTAAGCAGTTAATCAAATTTAGTATGCATAAATAGCGTTTTTAAATTTAAATTAATTTGGATAAATTATCTTAATCTAATTAACTAAATTTAGTTAATTAAATTTAGTACGCGTAACTAATGAGAATAAAACCTTCAGAAATTTAAATTATTTAAAAATTAGTTTATTAGATTAAGGTAATTTAAGCAGTTAATCAAATTTAGTATGCATAAATAGCGTTTTTAAATTTAAATTAATTTGGATAAATTATCTTAATCTAATTAACTAAATTTAGTTAATTAAATTTAGTACGCGTAACTAATGAGAATAAAGCCTTCAGAAATTTAAGTTATTTAAAAATTTGTTAATAAGATTACAATAATTTAAGTAGTTAATTAAATTTAGTACACACAAATAGCTTTATTAAATTTAAATTGATTAGGGTAAATTATCTTAATCTAATTAACTAAATTTGGTTAATTAAATTTTGTACGCGTAATTAATGAGAATAAAACCTTCAGAAATTTGAATTAATTAGAAATTAGTTAATTAGATTAAGGTATTTTAAGTAGTTGCTTAAATTTAGTACGCATAAATAGCGTTTTTAAGTATAAATTAATTAGGGTAAATTATCTTAATCTAATTAACTAAATTTAGTTAATTAAATTTAGTACGTGTAATTAATGACAATAAAACCTTCAGAAATTAAATTAATTAAAAATTAGTTAATTAGATCAAGGTAATTTAAGTAGATAATTAAATTCAGTACGCATAAATAGCGTTTTTAAATTTAAATTAATTAGGGTAAATTTTCTTTTTCTAATTAACTAAATTTAGTTCATTAAATTTGGTACGTGTAATTAATGAGAATAAAACCTTCAAAAATAAGTTCCCTTGAGGCTATATTACCAATTAGACTTTTGAAAACATTTTTCTAGTATAAAGCTATTTCATATTCGTCTGAAAATAGTTGCTCATTTCTCAGCAAATTGAGAAAAATTACTATTTTTCGGAAAACGCTTTAAAACGATCCATTTCATTTTCCTCAATTTTTATTGATAGACTGGAAGACATTACTTACAGTAAAATTCTCACTGAATGTTCTACACAGTAAAAACCACTGAAAAAAAACCAAACGACATCTGCTGGTCTAAGCAGACTGGTCCTGTTATCTTTTTCAGTACGTAATAAAAGGTTATCAGTAAGCCGTCCATCAAAAAACATCAATATTATTGCTTGATATTGTTGCAATATGTTTTTCATTCCATTTGGATAGCCATAAAAATAAATATCATTTGTAACTACGTGCACAAATAATTGTTTGTATGATCAATATCAAAATATGCAATCGTTTATTGATGTTGAGGCTCGCTAGGTTTGCATTTTTTGGTATATGTTTATTTTATTGTGTGAATAGGTCAAAACTTTGTTAAGCTTATGCAATTGCAGAAGCTTGAAAAAGATTTTAAAGTTTGTATTTCAGTCATGTCCGTCGTCTATTGTCGTTCTAATATTCCTTGTCCCCATCTAGAATTCTCAAGGCCCCACTCAGGACTTTAGGGAATTACGCAAGGTAACAACCGTTCCAAGAACAAAAACGCTGTGATGTTTGAAAATTAGCCCAATACAGATGCGAAAAAGCAAAAATTTCAGAATTAAATTATTTTTTACGATGATTTTTTTGAGTACCAAAAAAATGGAAGATCAATATTAAAGAACCTCAGGGTATAGTCAACATTTTCTTACGTCTAGAATATTTATGTGCCTGCAATTTTTAATAGAATTATACACATGTACTTGTCTCCATGTTTCCATATCAAGCACTAAACTACTGTTAAAATGAATCTTTTGAAATTACCTTCATTTTGAAATTCGTTTCTAGACGACATTTTGCAATTCCTCGCGTATCACCTGTTATAGCAAATATCGCACTACTGAAAAGTGAAAGGTAAATCTACCTATAAAACTAATATAATTGCCTCAAATTACACCAATACCGAGACATTATATTATTATTAAATCTCCGATATGTAATAGGTGCTAATAGATATTCCATTACCAGATATTCTGAATCTAGAAATAATGTATATGTCATGCACAACTACACTTATTAAAAAAATATAGTTGGCCTTGAAAATAACAGCCTATCAGTTGTTTATTCACTAAAATCGCCAGTAAAAGATTGCCAGTTTTTTAGAAGTGCGTTTTAAGGCACATTTAGATAGTTTGTCCAGTTATTTTATATATATTAGAATTTTAGGCGTTTTTTGTTTTTTTCCATTTGTCGCAAACGTTTTTCTGAAAATGATCAGGATCCTCTAAAACTACACACTACATAATTGCAACAAGTATTCTCATCCACGCTTTCGTTTTAAAACACCATTTAGCTGCAACCTCACCGACGAGTAAGCGATTTGTGAAATTTAAATCTGTTCTAAATTGGTTGCTATTCTCATAATGGTGTTTCAGCTCCTGAAGATGACAACATAGTTTTACGAAAGCTCGAGATTACCGTCAAAAGAGGTCACTAAGCTTTAAATTTTGCCAATTCCCAATAAACAATTTAATTGTATTTTTTGCCCAAGTGGTCGTTGGAAATGGCAATGACTACTGCTCGCATATATATATATACATTTACTATTTTTAATTTGTTTTTTAGCTCCTGATGATGGCAGCATAGTCCATCGAAAGCTTGAGTATTGTAAGTCAACAGCGTACACTTAGCATAATTTGTCGATATCCCAAAGAAAGTCTTACATTTAACTCAAGCTTTCGACGGACTATACTGCCATCATCAGGAGCTAAAAAACAAATTAAAAATAATATATATATATCAATATATATGTAAGGATTTTGAAACATTACGGTTATCACACTGTAAGTTTTCTGAAATATTTCTGAAAAATGTTTCGCGATTACAATACTTTCTCGCCAGTTTTAGGTTATGAAGTAAAACATATTTTTACAAGTTTACTGGAAACATACCTGGGATTGCACTGATACCACAGTCTATTACAACTGCATTTGGTTTTATCCAATCCCCTTTCACAAATTGTGGTTGACCAATGGCAACAACTAGTATGTCAGCTTTGGCACACTAGAAAACAAAATAAAAAAAGAATATGATACCACCACGATATACGAAATTTTTCTAGTTCTAATAGTCTACTCCAAAATTTAAAAAATGCTGACGAATTTAATAATCTTGTTATGACAATTCATGATTGTTTTACATATCAAAAACGTTTTCAGTTCAAATACCGAGAGATTTTATATTTTTCAAAAATGTCAAAATTTATTCGTATTTTAAAATTCCCTAAAATATTAGACATATCGAAGACGTTAAGATTCTTAACACAACTTGGTTTACAATTACTACTGTGAAGACCAAAACCTTAGAGTAATTCCAACATAAGGTGGTTCCAATTGGACAAAGAAACATAGTGTTCTTACAATTCTGTACCTCAGAGCCAGACTAGGTTAAGTCCAAATAAGTAGTTTTGAGATAATTGTATTTGAAATTCTTATCTTGCATTGACTCGAGTTAAAAAGTCGTAACTTCACTATTATCACAGATAGATGGTTGCTGCATGTAGCAAATGAAAATTCACAATATTATCATAAGCTGAACATATTAAGCTCATGGACTGAACCTAGTCTGGCTCGGGGGTACAGAATTACATATCCTGTACTACAGTTACCTGTTCTTTTAGGTTTTTGGTTTTCGAATGACATATGGTGACAGTGGCATGTTCCCATTTTAGCAGCTCCGCAATAGGCGTCCCTACAATTTTGCTCCTCCCCAATACTACAGCTTCAGCTCCCGCAATTTTTACACCTGTTCTTTTTATCAATTCCAAAATGCCATTTGGAGTACACGGTACGAATCCTGTTAGGTTTCCTACTGCTAATTTGCCCTCATTTATAGTGTTTAAACTGTAAAAAATAATAAAAGCTGCGTTACTATGTCTTGCTGTCACTCCATCTAAGAACAAATTGAAATTTGTTGTAATGGGAACTGAAATATCATCACAGGGTGTAGATTTTTATTTTATCGGAAAGCAAACAGACCTACTTACCCATCTACGTCTTTTTCGGGTGCAACAGAATCCGTGATTAAATGCGAGTCTATTTTATATTCGGAATCCAAAGGCATCTGCACAATAATGCCGTGAACGTTGTTGTCTCCATTGAGTTGACGAAGTTTCTCTAACAGCTGAAATATGTACGAACTGTATAAACATTGTTATTTGAAACTGTTAGCAAATGTTAGGTATTGCAAGTACTTTAGTTTTCCAGAAATGATGAGGTACGCAGAGGAATGACTACACTGCAGTATCTAGCAACGAAGATTGAACGGAATAAAGTTAATCATAAATGAATTAGGGTGTCTCACTACGGTAGTAAAAGCCCAAGATTACAAGTTATTACAATACACGTTGCAATTTTTCCAATGGTCATACGAGGTCTGTAAATTAAGTGAACTGGCAACGTAGCATCCGATTTGGCAACACTGGAGGCACCGGGCTTGGAGGGGAGACAAGGGAAGATGTGATTCGCCTTCAGTACACGTTTGAACTCGTTCGAACATGTGGCCGTGCTGACTTGACTCCCAAAGGAGGCACAAAACCGTACCAAGTCCAATTGGTTTGTAAAAGCGGGAAGAAAATGGAAATTTTGCCGTACTTGCCTCAGTTTCAGTTGTAGTTTTTGGTAGCTTGATGTGTTCAGCCAATATACCGATGTCAGAAGCAGCTTTTATTTTCATCCGAATGTAAACGTTCGAATCTTCTCTCTCGCCAACTTGTACAATAGAAAGCTTAGGTAACAAACCAGGCACATTTTTCTTAAGTTCGGCTACTTCTTTTTTCAATCTCTCCTTAACGTCCCTGAAGATATCAAACATGTGCGAAAAATCGAAGTCATGATTTTTAATTACAACAAAATCGTACTGATTTTTAATCTTCTGTTAAATTAGTCTCATTCAGGAAGCGACAATGCATTACATTACAATAATATACAGGGTGTTATCGGATGTTGTCAGGATTATTAACTGGCAGATTCAGATATGGACAAAAGTTTATCTAAACATAGGTCTGAAAGTGCTTTTTGTTTTCATAATAATCTTGTTCGGCTTTGATAATTGACCTTACATTTTTCCAAAACAAAAAAAAAGATTGAGATCATTTTTGGATCGACTTGTGCAAAATTATTTTCTGAAGCACTTGCAATTATATAACTTTCAGAAAACGACACGTAACTTTATGTGCTCAATAGGCCCTTAAATTCTAAACTTTCCGTAACATCCTATATATTTTTTCTGTCCATTTTCAAAATTTTAAAAAGACTTACTTGGCTATTTCGGTCCCCGAGACAATTTGTCCTCTAACAGCAGAAGGAGTCATTTTCTGGGTGAGGTCTACAATAATACATCGCGTTTACCAGAAATGCAGTTCTAACATCAGTATCTATGAGGTCAAGAGTTATCTACTGCACCAGGGGGCACATTTTTCTATGCTTCGATATTACAGAGTTGCACAATCAATTCTCAATACTATAGGCTAGTTGAAACTTATGTAAAGTAGGTCTTGAATAGTTGTTATTATATGTTCTATTAAACCAAAAAAAGAGACTATATTTTATTTTCAGATATAGAAAATCGTAAAACAAATATGTATATATCTCCTGTCCGCCATGTTTGGACCATATTGCTGTGGTCTGACGTCATACCATTTGTAAGCAGCAGCTGACAGCAGCATAACCTCACAAACTTTTAAACATATAAACATGAGTTCTACTTAGTTTACATGAAAAATTACCATTATTGCATTCAAAAAATTACCCCTCACTTTATTTTTTGACCCGGTATATTTTAGCGTTAGCATGGTAGTTGAAAATTTCAAAATGGAGGCAGTGCGCCATCTTGGACAGTTTTCAAAATGAGGTATCATATGTCTAGCATGGCCTCCTACCGCCATCTTAGAAGTTTCAACTGTCACATTTAATTAAAATACAGTGATAATTTCATCATACTAAATGTCAGATTGCTAATCCGTTCAAAAAGGCCTCGTTTTGCCAAAATTTTCACGTTGTTATGTTTCTTGCAAATTAGTTCTGTCCACCTTGTAGACAAAGTGTTGTAGTCCAAGATAAAACATAGCAAACAACTTACGTGGAGCACTGATGCTGACGCTGCATCTCATTACGTGAAGTAGGGGCAAACACCTTTGAAGCATCTTTTTTGAGTATCATTAATTTGTCAAAATGCAACTGATGATACCTAACAGAAGGTAAATTCAAGTCGTTTTGTAAGAATTTGAATTTATATATAGCTCCAAAACATCGATTTGCGTGAATAACAAGTTTATATCAGATCTTTTGCTTCATTACGAATATTATGCATATGATACCAATGCGTATCAAAATAAAGAATGTATTGTGAAATTTTCTATAAAATTTCAACGGATGACAAAAATAAAAGGGTCATCTGTTGACATCGTCACAGAATATTATCATATTCGGTTGGAAATACATCCAAAAGTAAACCAGAGGTTCTAAACAGGCAACTTTTGTTCAAAAAGATTTTGAGCAAAAAAAAACTGGCAAAAAATTAAATATCTCTGCAATTATGTACTAATTCCCTTTGACAATGAGCAGGCTTTTGTTAACCTTGCGGATAAAGCAAGATATTATAATTTATTTTGATGATAAAGAATTGATTAGGATCATTATTTTGAAGCTCATATTTTTACTAGACAGTGATTTAAATTTCAAATTTACCGCCGTGTCGGTCAAGTGTATGCCTGACTGGTGACAGTAGTGAGGAATTGGATGGGATTCGGGACTGGGAAAGTGAGGTTAGGAAATGTTGGGCTTCTTATTGTTGTTTTGGGGAATAGAATTGTCATATTTGCAACTTTATTTACACTGCCGGCATTGTTCACTCAAAAGTCATTGTCCGCGCTGTGTTTTTAAATACTGAATTGTTCATAAATTTTGTGATAAACGTTTTTTTTAAAGTTGCTCAATATGTTCACACTGTCTGTGATACTGGTTGCTTGCCTAAGTCAAGAAGTGTATGGTGGCCGGTGGGTGGGTCTTTTTTTATTTATTTAGCCTCACATGATTTTAATTTTAAAATATAAAATTGATTAATTGAGAAATCAGAAACATTTTCTACCACTGTTATGACAATACTAGACATCTACGTACTAAATACTTTCTTGAATTCGTCGTACTAGATTTCTATTAGCCTTACCAGGTAATTTTACTTACTTTCCTCATTGTTGTTTTGTACTGCCCGCGGTTGAGGACCGTCATTATATGAATCACTTCTCGCTTTTACGAAATGTAAAACTGCGTTACAAAAATAATCGAAAAAATATAACAGACTCCACATCTTCAAAATCACAAAAACCTGGGTACAGATTTGGCGGGAAAAAGTTAGTTGATGCGTGGTTGACTGGTTGCCTACATAAAGAGTCTGGCTGTACCGACTTAAGGCTAGTTTACACGAGTGTCTGTTCCTGTTAACGGTTGCACTGTTGTGTGGTGATGTGCTTCTAGTTTATTTCAGTGAACTAGTATCATAGGTGGCGCTCACTAAAACGAACTAGTTCGCGGACGAACTATTTCACACAAGAATAATGTCAGTGAAAATTTGCAGTTAATTTATTTTTTCATTCTAGTATTGTTTCAATTTTTTTATAAAAGTTAGGTAATTTTTTATTTCTTCAGCCTTTATACCTAACAGCATTTATCATGTTTTTATAACTTCCAGGCAACCAGTTATACAACTTTCTGCTCTCGGTTGTGTTCCGACTCTTTTCTCCTATCTCGTTCGTTCACCCACAAACCAGTTCGATTCGAACATCGCGATTCGGTAATACCAGTTCGTTCTTAGTGAACGAGTTTTTCAAGGAATGGTGGACTAGACCACTTAGTTCAATCATAAGTATCGTTCGATTGAACTAGTTCGTTCGCGAACTACACACTACTACTGTTGAGAATAGAACTTCTGTTTTCTTAAGGTGTATTCTACAAAATTGCAAATTAATGGCAGAATGTTTAGAGTCCCTTTAGGATGCTAAAGATATAAAAGGCGGAATGGAAGGCGTTTGGTAATAAAAAACTTGTTTTCAAAAAATGTGTATATTAAAGTACATTAGTGTACAAAATGGTACTAAAACAAGGGATACATTGCAAATGTACCTCAAACATCATATATTCTGTCATGAGGCAACAGGATTAACACTTTCCCACATCTTTAACACAAAAATAATTTTTTATTGTTTCACAAATTTGAAAAATCATAATTAGAATACTAAGCTTTGTGCCCTTGCGGGTCAACAAGATGTTATGAGAGCACAAAAAGTGTCAATCCTGTATACAAAGACAAATAATGGTGCAGAACTTTATGTATAAAAACATTGTCAGAATTGACTACCTTTTTTACGCATAGGGTGTTGCACGAATTTCGGAAACCATAGAACTCAAGTGACAGTTTTAGTACTATAAAAACTAAGAGGTGTATAGATAAATAAACGAAGTGGTTGAAATATAAATATGACTATGTTAACGTCGTCGCCATGTCTATGAAGCGATTTACAAAATAAACACTATAAAGAGAAAAGAATACTGGTATAAATTCTATGAAATAAAAGATATAGCGTAACATGTCCTAAATTACACAATTTATAATATCACATCTACGTGGCTTTATTCTTAAAATTAAACTCACATGTATACAGGTATATATTGCTTTTCTATTTAGAAGTGGTTTGGCTTTGTATACTCTATAGATAGGTAGATTATAAGGTTATTTAAAGCGCTAGAGTTATTCAAACCGACCCTTTCCACGAGTATCCATCACCCTTTGACGTCTAGCTGATCAGCAAGTGACGTTTTCTGCGATGTTGGCAATAAATCTGGTAAAACTTGTTTGTAACGTTTTGTTTTTGTATAAAAAAATAAAAGAGTTGTTAACAAGTACAAAATGAATATGTGGCGTACAACAAACCAAAACAAAATACGACTCTGACAGCTGGCGTTGACGGATGCGTCAGATTTAGGTGTCCTGTGCCGATATGGGGAATTTTGAGATAATACTACATAATCAGCTGTCATTGTAACGTGACGGATACTCGTTTATAGTCTTTTCACGAGTATCCATTACGTTTTGACGAATGGTGTGAAATTCAGGGCTGTTTATACCGAATGTCGTCAAAAACTTTCATCTTGTTTTATTCCTACGCGATTTGGAATATAGTCATGATCACTAGCAGCCATTTTGCTTGTAGCGTTTTATATTGCTAGATAATCAGCTGTCATTGCTGTCACATTCGACGTAATGGATACTCGACCAAAAGACGTCAAATGTAGAGCGTCTCATTATTGCAGACTTCCACTTAGATTGCTCACAAGTAGCCCCCAAGTTTTGCTTAAAGAATGATTCTTGTGTATGATTTTTGATGACCGAATCAATTAAATAATATATATATATATAATAGATATTAATACGAAAGCATTTTATTGTATTATCGTCCAGTGACAGAATGCAAGTTAAAGAATGAACATGCTGGTTATAGTAGGTACAGCTTTCTAGTATGTCAACACTGTAGGCGTATTCTAAGCGGTATCTGAATGCTGAAGGGCTGACACTGCTTTGTTTTTTGTATCTAAAAAAAAGTGACTTCAAAGTCACTGATATGTCATCACAATTCACTTCCATTTGAACAACTCTAGTTTTTGTATAATCTTCAAATTCAAATTCCTCAAGATCACGGCATGATTTGAAAGACACCAGCAATGCTTGTTTCAATGAAAATGTATGCGCGAGATTTTGAATGATTTGAATTTGTATTCAGCATAAATACGCAAACTAAAAATAAAATACATGGTAATGGAATCTAAGTTGAAAATAAACATGTGGAAATGTCAAATGATTCATGTCATACATTCAAGTTTAACTCTCAGTTGGTCCTGTAGTTAGAAACAAATATGTCAGTTTATACATTTTTATTCTTAGAATAAAGAAGCATGATTCACAATACTCTCTGAAATAAAATGGAAAGGATAGAACATAGGTTCGCCGATTGATAAACATGTTATTCCAAGTTTTATCATGTTTGGACTTTTTAAGTGTTATTTCACCAATTTCAAGATTGCAAGAAGTAATAACCTATGTTCTTTCATTATCCCAAACGATAGTTTATCTCAAACAAAGTTATCTATAAATGGTTTTAGAAGATACAGTACCAGATCCAGGCAGAGTTATCTACTCAGAAGATCGAAAATGTATGTTTTAGTAACAATTTTTAAACGGCAAACTATTAAACATGTAAATTGTCAAAATGATTCGATAAACAAAAATGTGGATATTTTGAGCTCGTTCTACATTTTGAAATAATTATCCGAATTACCTTCAAAGCCCGGTTTGTCGCCGACACAGCATCATCGTAGCACAAACACGTAACACAGCAGAAAATAAGACATAACCAATTGACCAATGGAATTACGCTAATTCCGTAGGTAAAGCAGATTTCTTCTTCGCTTAAAGCAAAATCACATGAAGTTGGAGGAGGTGAAACGTAACACATAACTTTTTCTTTCATTTTCTTTAAAAAAATTCGCCAATTTGTTCAGCAAATGATTTAATTCAAAATACGTTCACAACATTTCTAAAAACACACAAAACAGACATCAAGGTAAACGCTAAACAAGACTGACAGCTGACAGTCGACAAGGCTATGTTTGTGCTATGCTAGGTTCACTGTAAACCGGGCTTAAGGCGAGATTCGCGGTGAATTGAGGTTAGGAAAAATATGAATTTCAAACTGTAAAGTAAATCGTGTAATCCTCCGCGTAGGGCCCTAAAAGATAATCAGCTAGAGGACGACAGGTGTTACGAACAACTTCTGTTTTCATAAAATTAAAAATCACTCTTTTCGCGGGTGCAAGTTGTTACCTAGCTAATTAACTTTCAGGGTCCTGCGTGTAACACGATTTAGTTTAGTATCAAATGAGAATAGCACTACCCTTTAACTTTTTAAAAAAATATTAAAATTTGACCATGAAGTAGCCCCTAAACTTATTATCAAATCTGGTGATCTGATACTATATCCATTCTATCTGTCTGAAACAGGAGGCATCTTAACTCGTAGCATGAACTGTACAGTTTGCTCAAAAATAAAACGTCGCCATTTCTTTTCACTTACCAACAGCAATTCAGCAATAATTATAAACTAATCACATGACTTGTGAAAGTGTATACCGACAGGGGTACTACGTAAAAAATGGTAAAACTATTATTATTATGTTGATATAACGTTGTCACTTTGGTAGTCAAGTCACTCAAAAGTATGCACGAAAACTACACAATTTTGACGAGAAACAATGCAAGGTTGACATACAAGCTTGGCACCTTCGTGACAAGAAAGAATGTCATGATTGAATGGCAGGAAAAAACGCCAGTGTGTGGGCCGCAAATAGGATCAATCTTGTTGACAGAATTCGACGACGTCTATCATGAAACAAACTGTACATCGAAATTGGCGATCAATCAAAATATTGTTCAATACCATCATACCTTGCATTTCCCACACCTAAATACACAGCCTTTGTCCATAAATAATTCCAAAACTGCCTTCAACTAGATATCATTAAACCCTGTATATAAACGATCTAATACTGAAGTAAATCAATATCCCTGTAAAATGAAATCTTTGGAAAAATGGAGAGATACAGAAGAAAGTGTGGTATATCAACACAAATGACGTTTAAATTAATCGTATGTGAAACAAACAAAAAATCATCTGTGTCGCAAAAAAAAATTCAGTAGAATTTGATACAAAATTATTTCATTCAAGACTATTTAGGGCGTAGGGTTTCGAGAAGGAAAAATGATTGTGACCTTGATCACGACATCCAGGGCCATTTCAAGGTCAAGTAAACATTTTCAAATCAAAACCCCTCATGGTTCACATCGGCATTGAAACTACTAAGGAGTCTTACCTTGGCCTTCAGGATCATTTCAAGGTCAAATCAAGACATCGAAAACAATTTTAACACCACAGTTGAGGACCACAACAGGTAACCTTGATCATGACCTCGATAACCTTGACAATTCAAGATTTTCAAACGAAAACTCAATTCTGACATTTAACCTTAAAATGACCTTGATGTTCAGATTAAGGTCAGATTCTGTCGTAAAATGTCCCGCGCTTTCATTTCCAGTGTAAAAATGACACATTTACTCAGAAAATTTTGACTTGACCTTCAAAGTCTCGGTCAAGGTCACATTTTGATGATTCCTATAAGTCTCACAAATATGCTGTCGATTATCTTTGCTAGATAAAGTTGTTCTCAACGTCTGGATCAGGCATTGAAATGACCTTGAAGGAGTCAAGGCCACGATAATGATGATAATCGGACGTATAATTTTCTCCTCTTTTCAATTCCGAAAAAAGTGGGTTCTATTTGA